CACTTCGCGGATATATATACGTATCTACCGTACGGTATTACGTAGCTACATAACCCAGCCGAGACCTAGCCCAATCTGCCTACCGTATTCCACCTATACTCGGCGATCCGACGAGCTTGAATGCGGTTGATGGGTGGTTGAGTAAGGATTATAGGCGCAGGTGACACATACACGTTACCTCCGGAGAGGCTGAAGTCGGGGGTGGCTCGGCCCCGATGGGTCGGTGCTGGTGACGGTTCAAGGAGACGTTGAAATAGAGAGACGAAGAGAGAAAGAGTAGGTAGCACGCGAAAGGGAGAGCAACCACGAAGGGAGAAAGTGAAACGTGGATACGTGAGAGGGACAGAGGAAGAGCGAGCGAGAAAGGGCGCGGAACACGATTCTGCAGAGACACACACCTCTTTCAATTCTCCTCTCGTGTGTACAAGCTTCTCTGACTGACTGCTGATAAGAGCACGCGAAATTGTCTTAATTGGTGAGAGAGCCAATCTGGGAGTGATCGAATGAGAAGAGCCTCTCGCGTCTCCGCCAACTGACTCCTCCTCTCGCCCTTTCTTCTGCTAGCCAGCTATAGGATCGGGCCGCGACGCATGAAAGATCCCATTGTTGGGCGCAAGAAAACCCGAGCCCCTGAAGAGCTTATTATTATCCTAATTATACAATACTATAATGAATGACTTCGCGGCTCACCCTCTGGCCCCTTACTCTCACTATCTTCCTCCCGGTGGCACGCTCCTCCTCTCTTTCTCTCTCTATCTTCCTCGATCTCTCCCTCTCGCTCCTTTTCCTTTCTTCTCGCTCACGGTTGCTCTTCTCCTCTGCACTTGGTGGTCGAAGAGTGGCAATTCTAGCACTCGGGCTTTTTGTCAAACCGACTACGGAACTAGTGCCGTCTCCCTCGCGCCCTTACACCCCTATTATGCGACCAGCCACGTCTCTCGTCCCGTTTTCTCTCTGTCTCCTGGTGTCTGTTTTAATTAGGCACTTCGCGGATATATATACGTATCTACCGTACGGTATTACGTAGCTACATAACCCAGCCGAGACCTAGCCCAATCTGCCTACCGTATTCCACCTATACTCGGCGATCCGACGAGCTTGAATGCGGTTGATGGGTGGTTGAGTAAGGATTATAGGCGCAGGTGACACATACACGTTACCTCCGGAGAGGCTGAAGTCGGGGGTGGCTCGGCCCCGATGGGTCGGTGCTGGTGACGGTTCAAGGAGACGTTGAAATAGAGAGACGAAGAGAGAAAGAGTAGGTAGCACGCGAAAGGGAGAGCAACCACGAAGGGAGAAAGTGAAACGTGGATACGTGAGAGGGACAGAGGAAGAGCGAGCGAGAAAGGGCGCGGAACACGATTCTGCAGAGACACACACCTCTTTCAATTCTCCTCTCGTGTGTACAAGCTTCTCTGACTGACTGCTGATAAGAGCACGCGAAATTGTCTTAATTGGTGAGAGAGCCAATCTGGGAGTGATCGAATGAGAAGAGCCTCTCGCGTCTCCGCCAACTGACTCCTCCTCTCGCCCTTTCTTCTGCTAGCCAGCTATAGGATCGGGCCGCGACGCATGAAAGATCCCATTGTTTTCTTCCGTTGGCTCGAGTGCGTTCGATCAACGAGTACCACCAATCATCCCGTTTTCCTGATTCTCGATTTTCTTCGTTATTTTAAGTACCATCGGTTCATACAACTATCGGTCTTATCAATCACTAAAATAATATCAAATTTCCGATTTTGTTATCTCCAGTATCTTCGATTCAAATTTCACGGTGAGCTTAATTCCGATAACGTCTTCGGAACTCTTTGCTTTCGATTTTGTTTTAGTGATTAAAATGTCCCCTCGGAAACCGAGCATAGAGGATTAAATGGGACAGCGTAGAGGAAAATGGGGGAATAGAAATACTGCTGTTTGATGTCATCGGTTCATTGGACTATGAATGAATCTCTAAAATAACATCCTGTCAATCAATTCTTATCATTCTCTGAAATAACGTCTTGTTATACAAAGCAGCTTCATTAGCGGCGCGGACTTAATATCTCCGTTTGTTCCGAATAAAAATGTGAATCCCAGCGTTAAACGAGAGTTAAGTTGAAAGTAAAACGGGAAACTGTTGAGGAAGATGGGAAATCTTAAGAGAATATCCCCGTCGTTTACGACGTGACTAGGATCGTTTGGAAACGACGACGACGACGGATACGGAAATGTTCGTCGATCTTCTGTTTCACGAACGGCGCGCGAGTCCGCCAGGCGGAAGCAATCTTAAAAATTGCTCCCAACGGCACCGAACGAGACCAAGACCCGAAGCTTGAACTGGTTGCCTCACATTGTCGAGCATTCAGGGACCTCGAGTTATACAAGCCGCAGTAGCACTACCGACTCGTTGGTTTCCCGCTGAACCGTACTTCTTTGCATCCCCTCGGGATCCAAAGTGCAAGATCAACCTGACTGCCATTCTCGCTGCCATTCTGGCCTGCTACTCTAGGATACTTCCACCAGCGGGGGCTGACTTCTGTGTGCATTTAAGGGTGAGGAGGATAGGGACCCGGAAAGAAGAAAGATCGAGGAAAGAATGGAAAAAATATCCGAGCAAGTAGCAACCTCCTCTTGCACGTTCTCGGCTCTCCGCGGTTGCCGCGTCAAGTCATTCTCGTGTTTTTCTCGATCGACTTCTATGTTTGTAACACAGAAGAATGCGAGGACGATTCTTTTTCTCGTCGACGTCTTTCTCAATTTTTATTCTTGCCTTTTATTTGCTTCATCCGAGACTTCAGACTCTTCACTCTTTAAGAACAAGAATTCATCCACTAGCGAGAGGGTTAAATTATAGGTAGCAAAATATGAAACAGCTAATTATATTTTCATGGGAGGAAAGATTGTAGCGATACAGCAAAGTGCTGTTAAGATTATGGTGTATTCTGATAAGACATCTTGATGTAACATGTTCATTTTTTCTCTTCGTGTAACATTTTGTCAATATTCTTGTCTTCTTTTTTATTCGCTGTGTTGTGTATATCACCGGCGACATCAATTATATTATGTAGAATTCACATGTTGAGAATTTTGTGATGTATATTATGTCATCTAACCATCTTTGTAATCTTTCTTTCGGTAAAAAAAATGTGCGCATAATTGTAATAGCTATTAATGAAATTTTTCTGTCGAAATATTCAGAAACTCAAAAATGAAAGAAATCTCAAGTAAACAAATTTTTAAATTTACAAACTTGGGAATTTTCAAATTTTCAGATTTACCTATGTTTGAAATGACAAGCTCTTTAATTTAAAAATTTTTTAATTGAAAAATATGAAAATATTCAAATTTGTAAATTTCGCAATTTGCATAGTCTCTAAAATTAGAAATTTTCTGATTTCTATACTTAAAAATTTGAAAACTTAGTGTGTTAAAATATTCAAAAATTGCTAAACTTAAAAATTTTCAGAATCATAAATTTTCTAATTTATAAGTGTAAATATTCGTAAAATCCTATATGATTAAAATAAATTTAAAAATTCCCAAAATTCTCAAATTTATAAATTAGAAATTCTCAAGCTCTTAAATTTTCAAATTTACGAATTTCAAAATTCTTAAAACTTCGATATAAACTGAGATATATGATAACATTTAAATTACTAAACTCATAATCTCTGTATATAAGAATCTCTCCGTATATTACCAATACCAAATATTCGCATTTCCTCATCGGTGGCAATATAGCGAACCAGCAGCGCTCCTCGATGCCCGAGAAAAGGAGGTCAACTCCAAAAACTGCTTTCATCTCAAAAATCGCAACAATGCAATTAAGCTCGAATACATTTTATATTTACAGAAAATTTAACGATTTTTCAATGAAAGCGCGAAACGTTGTCGCGTGTTACGACGCTGTTTCGCCCCTTTCGTCAGAGAAGAGCGGGCGCAACCGCATAGAAACTAAGTTCGTGGTCGGTTCAATTGAAAAAATAATTAATTTCTTAATCAATGGCAGTTGCATTGAAGTCGTAGGCGGGCAAAGACGTCGCACAAAGAGTCGACGGCTGGCGTTCAAAGTATATTCGTTTTCTCTGGCGGCACGACGCGATGTGCTCGTTCCTTTCCCGAGTTTTTCGGTGAGATCCACCGAAGCGAAGCCACCCCTTGATGCTGGCCCCGAGTCCCCTTCCTGGTTTCTCTGCACGGTAGCTCGGGTCACTATTACTATACAAATTACCCGCCAATTAGTGACTTGTGCTTGTTTAACTGCGTTAATTAATGAACGTAAACGGCAAACTTGGCGGGAGCTCGATTTTTTCCTTTGCCGCCCACGAGAAAAGAAGAAAAAGCGTATCGCGGTTACGATCCCGACGCGTTTTCTTTGTAGACGCGAGCACGCGAGCGCACGATCACGTTTATCCGTAAACGTCGACGAGTTAGGGTGCCGGGGTCTTCTTGGACGATACACTGTAACACGTTCTTAATAGTTTCTTTGAACCGTGTCGCTTGCCAGCCGACGAACAGTCCTACACGTCTCTTCTCGCCTCTTCTTCCTTCTTCACCTTCCGCGACTCGCGTCATACCACTTTTAGTATCGACCCTTAATTAATTATCGGTCGTGCATTAGCATTCTACGTTCATCGAACACGTCTCTCGTTTCGAAAAACGAGGAAGAAAAATTATTGACAGCACACAACTTTCGAGGGGCTTCCTTATAAATGTTAGGGAGCTACCCTAATGAACATCTAATTATTTTTTCTGTATTTTATTAAAACAACATTGCTGACATCAAATGTTTTGTGTCTTTGTTATCAACTTTTTAAATATTAATAATGCTATAATATAAATAACAACTTAATAATATTAAACCAGTTATTACTATTTTTTTTAGTAGACAGTACTGCTAATTTATGAAATTATTGTTCTGTTCGAGGGATAAAATGTATATAGCAATGCTGGTCGAAATGCTCAGATACCTCATATAATGCAAAACCGGTCAATATAATTAATTTGCTTTCATTTTTCAGGGAGTTCTACTACATCCAAATGGAGAAATACGCGAGGCAAGCGGTTTCCGAAGGTGTGAAGAACGTGGACGATCTTCGGGTCGGTGGTGACTCGGAAATCTATCGAGTTCTCAACCTTCATTACAACCGAAATAATCACATTGAGGTAAGTAATTTCATCTACTTTCTCATTTTTTCATATAAATTTAAATCTGGATTTGTTACTTTGTATGAAAGTATATCATGCCACTTATAAAAATATTAAGTGTTAATTATAGTTCGTAAATGCATAAATATTTAAAAAATATTCGGACATATATACATTGAGTGCATTTGTACAATTAGTAAAAAAGTGTACTTTGAATTTAAAGATTGCAAATTTTTAAATAAGAAAATTTCAAAACTTTAGGATACAGTTTATAATATTAAAAATGGACGAATATAAAAATCATACTATAAAGTCTAAATTGTTCAATATCACTTGCACGTAATTCAACACACGTATCTGAAGAACTCGATTCCTGCCATACTATGATTCTCTAATCAAACCGGTTATCCAACAGTCAAAATTTCGATACAGCCAATGAAATAGCCGCGAACTTGATCGTTTCTAGCACCTATCGTGCAATTATTTGGCGGTCAGGCACAGCCACGCGCGTTACCTATCCTTCCATCGCGAAAACGCTTTTAAACGAGTTCGAACTCGTACACATCGAGCTTTTACAAGTCGAGGTTTCCTCGTAAATCACTCGTACGTCTCTACTTTCCCATTGTGGGGCGCAATTTACTTTCGCCACCGCGTAACGACCGTTGATTGTATTTACAGCAACCGGATGGCGGCGTGTGTGCACACGTAAAGCAGCTATTTAATATTATTTAACGAGTCTCCGCTGAAACCTGGAGGCTCTATTCTTCCCGTCGCCTGTTACAATCGCGGGCCCGCTTGACGCGTAATTAATTACTCGTGTTCGTTAATAACCCACACGTACTAATTATCAGTGGAAACTCTTAGCGCCAGTTCGTCCGTGTGACCGCTCGGCTCGCTCGTTAAGCGATACACGCGTCACATTGCTTTAATTGTTTGACTCCTTCGGTGGATCGTAATGAGCGCGGAGAAATTATCTTTCTCGTTTATACCACGGATTTTTTCCTCTTCCTTTTCTGTTTTCAAACGCGTTCGAACAACCTCCCGATTGACTCTTTGACGGTGTTGCCTCGCGAAAACGCGTCTACGTACTTCTTAAAATGTTACCCAAGTTTTTCGAATAAAGTTACGAAATTAGATGACTTTAATTAGTATTAATTTGCTTTCATTCAGAAAGCTTAGTTCAGAAAATTTAGTTCTGCATTTTTAAACGAGTTCACATTTTGAAGTATTTCATTAAAGTTTCATTTGACTTTTTAAATAACATCTTGTTAAATTTTCACTTGTAATGTAATTCTGATACCTATAATATTTGTGTTAAATATAATCGTTAACATGGTATCTCTTCTCAAGAACGTCATTTTTACTTTCAGATCTAACATTAAAAAGCAATTAAATGACCATTCTACGTTACATATAGTTTATTACACATGAAAAAGCTTGAAAGCTTACGTGTAAAAGAGCTTTACTATTATTGGATTAGCTAACGAGTAATGGCAGATTTTTCTGTCAGAGATCGCTTTTGCTATTTTCAAAATAAAAGACTCCTAACCTATAAAGCTATATACAATCTGAGATTTTAATATGTAATTTAAAATAGTTACATGTAAAATTTATTTATAATTAGTAACAACTAAAGTTATCCATGTTATACTTCACATTATAATTGAAGTAATTAAAACGATATGTAAATATAGCGTTAAATACAATTTTTATCAACATAACTTAGAGAAAAATCCGAAATTACTTATCAGCTAGTCCACATTTATTTGTTCGTCAACACGAAAACAACTTAAGAACAGTATAAAAACTTTAAATTTGTTATAAATTTGTTTGCAAACATTTGTTGTAAAACATTTTTAGTTCAGATGTATATTATATAAGGTTTCAGCGTTTGTTCTCGTGTTTGCGAAAAGTATAATATGTAGTAGGCTTAATATTTATAGCAAAGTGAAGAAAGAAGAAGCGAAACGTGAATATTATCCCCTTAAAGCGTGGTTGTGACTTACAGGTACCAAGCCACTTCAGGTTCGTCGTCGAGCAGACGCTGAAGGAGTTCTTCAAGGCAATCCAAGGTGGCAAAGACAACGAACAGAGTTGGAAGAAGTCCATCTACAAAGTGATCGCGAAGCTAGACGACGCGGTACCGGACTATTTCAAGACCCCGAACTTCCTGGATCAGCTCGTATGAATCAGCAGGTCGCGTGACTCTTGCTCTTCGTGGTGCGCGGGCTCGTCAGCGCTCGTCGGCTCCCGGTAAAGTCAGAAAACAGAGAATGAACAAACGAAGATGGAACGGTCAGCGAGGAAGGATCGCATCCGCCATTGGAGGTACACGTCCTTCGCGTAAAAGCGCGTTCAGGTATCCTTAAAACTAACATATCGCAGAACGAGCGTGAGAGAGAACGTGAGAGGGAGAGAACGATCGATAGAAAGAAAAAAACGTTAGGGAGTTATTAGACGAGGAAGAAGGGAGAGTACACTAAACGTTCGAACCGAACGAACGGACACGCGACGATACGGAGGCATCGATCATCAAACAAAATGGACGATGAGGAGTGCCGACGAAGGATCAGGCTGTGACCTAATCACGAGAACAACGTCCACGGGCGAGACGGGTTGGATATCTTTCACGCTTCGTGCCTTTTTAATCACCGATCACCGATAGTTGCTCGCTGATGATCGGGACCCACGAGTTACTAGCGAGGCCACGAACTGTCCAGCCTGTCCTCGCCGCGGACGAACATCGATACGACGACGGTTCTGGGAGGAAGCGAAGAAACAGGACGAAAGCGTGGTCAACGAACGGCAAGGAATTACACACAACACATAATAAGCTTCGAACGTCGAGTATTGTTTTCGATTTGTTGCGTAACACAACAGTTCACCGATTACCGCCTAATTTTAAGACCCGAGTTATTTCCGAATAGACGCGTAAGGCAAGAAAGAGCATCCGTGAACCGTGACGACGATCGATCGATGGGTGGCTTTCGTTCAAGCGAACAGAATATGTATTCAGTGGGTATGCTACTGTTTTGTCCATATTTATAGAAGAACCGGTAAATACATACTTATATCTCGTGTGATGGTGAAGCAAGATCCGCTGGACGGATCCTCCGCAGCTTCCGCTCGAGAGGCAGAAGAGGAAACCTTCTCGTGGATCTTCGGGAACGACTTGTAACGAACGGTAATCCACCCTCCGTTCCGAGTCGTTTCGAGGCGCTACAACGATGGCCAGTTTCACTTGGCATTCGTCACGCTGCGTACCTTTTGGTCCTTTTTTTTCACGAGGACCCTTTGTTGCTCGATCGAACGCACCCTCGTCGAAGCGTCGCCCCGGCAGCGTTCGTTTCAAGCGCGATCACTGCAACATCCGCTCGACCGAGCCAAAGATGATTAGTTGTTTCGGAGGAATCCTAGGATGACGGTTCGTACCGAATCGGACGGGAACGATCCAGCCGATTTATTTTCAGCGGAAGTGACCGTCGTTTAAAGACGAAACAGCCGACCGGCAAACGGGACCACTCGTCGCCGGTCTTTTGCGTATCGATCCTTTTATGTCTTTAAGTTGTACATAGATTTCTTTGATCGTCAGATTGTAATGAATTCGAAAAGAAAAATCGAGACGCAAATATTAATTCGTACGGTAAGAATTTCTAAATGACATTCGTGGAAACATAAAATCCACCTTTGGACGTTTAGTTTTTATCATCGAACGATTAAATCCTCGGGTTTTCTCGTGGGAACCGAAATTATATTCGCTGATCGACGAATCAGACGATAAACGGATTCGTATTACACACGTTTACGTAGAAATGTTTTTTTTTTTAATTAATGGTTAACCGATATGTAAACGAGGTTAGGCTAGTCGCAGTGACAGGAGTACGAGTAACAGGGACGACGAAATAAAGGAAGTGACGATATTTTAAGATGAACAAATCGAGAATCATTTGCACGTGAAAGAGAAACATCGTCGAATATAGAAGGGGGAGATCAATTTTGAGAAAGAGACTAAAAATACAATCGTACGCCGGTGCGTAACTATAATAAAGTAGATTATATTAAAAACTTATATATATATATATATCTATATATATACATATATATGTATACAAACTAATAAATAAATATATACATGCCTGTGTGTATATATATATTTATGTATAAAGATTAGAAATATATATGTATATATATATAATTGCATCAAATTATATGTATATAATATTAGACTTTAAAACAAAAGACGAATATTGGCGCGATTAAAATTGCGTAAAGAATGCGTGACAGAGGATTAGACGACCATAACCTCCCTTATTCCACTTGTACCCGACCTATCACACTCACACACATACGTGACATACGTACACATCCTACCCACCCCCGTACACACACATACACGTACACGCGTACGCACACAAAGCGATTACACTTTACAACCCTCATTGTACATACAATACACATATGCACGGTTTATTCGCGAGAAATTCATTACTGACGCGTATATGTGTTTTATCGCCGCAAAAAAGTTTCTTTTTCGTTGAACGATTTTGTAGATACGTTATCGTACGATATAGTAATTATGATTACACCGTGTATCGTGGGTGGTAGCGAGTTATTGTAACTTAAATTGATTGCCTTTTCACTATTATTATTATTCCCGCTATTATGTGCACTATTATTATTATTATTGAAATATTATTGCTATTATTAGTTATGTTATGAATATTTTGTGAGAATGCGACGTTTTATCAATTGTGATTGATTTAATTCGTCCTGAAAGCCCTAATTCTCATCCAATTTTCACGTTGCAAGAGTGTCATCTAGCAATACGTGCTCCCTGTTCACGAAGTTCCCTGTCCTTATCTTTTTTTAGCGTTTCTTTCTCCCCTTGTATATTTATAAGCTTAAATCTGTCCTTATTCCCCATTCCCCTCTATGTTCTGGCATTTTAGTTACTATTGTATTTAGTTATTGTATCTCTACGATCATTATAATTATTATTACCTATTATTATTATTATTATTATTATTATTATTATTATTATTATTATTATAATTAAGCATGAGTTATGCAAGTGTACACGACAAAGAGGAGAGCAATCAACAGAGAGGAATACACAGAAAACACACACGAATACACACGTTTCTGTATAAGCGGTGAGTCTTAACCTAGTCACGAGTCACTAATGTTTTAATTTTAACGATCGATTTATTGATTATTATTTTATTTATTATCTACGAGAATAAAAACGACACATTAGACTCTGAGTTGTCTGTTATTTTTTTAACTTCGTCATTATTTTCGCGTCGTATTTTCGTTACGGTCCAATCACCACCGAGCAATACGCGCCAAACACCTTGCTCCAAAGCACGAAACCGACACCCTCCCCTCTTCGAAATTGTGCATTCGAATTCGACGACACCCGGCGAATACGTTTTCAAAGTGTTATTCGACTGCCGCCGACCCGGCCTACCTTCTATCCAAAAACCGAACGAATCGTTCGCGAGAAACGTGAGGACGATTTTCTGTCGTGGCTGAAATCGTCGAATCGAATCGCGAAAGAATTGACGCGAACAAGATCGAGGCTCCGTGCGGACGGGCAACAAAATCGAGGGATGGGGGGATATTCGCGGGAAAAAAATTGGAGAAAATTTCGACTCTTAGATAACTAGACAGTGGCCTAAAATTAAAGTAGTGTCTCCTTCGGCGGTGGCCTAAGATTTGGTCTAAACGTTTACGTCCCGGGAGGAAAAATAGAGAAAACGTACCTGCGGTCGTTTGTGGGCCTCCGCGGTTCGAGATCACGATTTTCGGCCAGAAATGCGATCGTCTTTGCGTACGCTCGCAATCGTTCGGATTTAGTTCCTACGTAACTCGCACCAGCAATCAGCGACAACGTTATTCGCCAGGGGATTACTTAGCGATGAATCTTAATCTACAAATGCGCGATTTTCGTAGCAAATTGTTAAATCGATCCGTTCGAATTTTGGCCATTCGCTGATTCAAGCGTTGAACAAGGATAATCGAAAGAGAAATCGTGTTTGTTTAACTAGGTGAAAAAATGAATTTGCTAATGTTAGGTAAATCGATCGTTGCGAACGAATATGATCGAGGAATTATTTAATGGAGGCTTATTATTTTTCTACGAATTTATTTAAAAAATTCTCTCGAATATACGCGTCCAAATCAACGATTTCTTACTTCATAGGGCATCCAAGATGCCCTCGTGAAACGCATTCGTGGATTAAACTGAGCTCGCTCCGCGAAATTTGTCAAACGCTTATTTCTCTCAAAACGGAGCATCTTTTCGCGGCTACCGAAACGGAATTAATTACCCCCCTAAAAACAACAGAATCCTCACTCGTAACCGTAAACCGCCACACCGAACACCCTGACACTTATTCTTGCGACAAAGAAATAAATCAACATAAGCTAACCAATAGAAATGAAATAATTTAAATGAAACTATATCCAATAATTGCTATCAAAATTCGTTTGAACGGTTCCAATCGAGCCAATTCGAATCGAATTTTTCAGTCACACGCTTAACGCAAAACAGAGAAGCATGCCAACAGTTGACCGACAATTCGAAACCAGTAATTTTCGAAAACAAATCCCGAGTCGTCCTTCTCATCGCAGACAGAGGCTCGCCGCCATGTCGGCAGAAAGCAACGGAAACAGGAAATACAACAGCTAGCCGACAGATAATATCTCCGTTAATCGAGGAAATCACGCGTCGAAGCCTAATTCTCGATTGCAGCGAAGATTTTCGGTTTCTTTCTTCAAAAACAACCCGCCGCGAAGGACGAACCGCCACGGATCACGCGAACGAATCGCAAACACGCGTTCGAAACTCAAAGAACGGAGCCAAAACCCGCTCCTCCGTCTCGACGAGTGATCGATGCCACTCCTCGTCTCGACGAGTGATCGATCCGGATCGTTTCAGGATGCGGACGGACTCGATTGTTCCTTAGAGAACGCTCGAGCTTTGTCTATTCTGAAACGGAGCCGATCGTCGAGAAACGTGGGACGCGGGTTGGAAACTGAAGAAAACGGAAGGGATTCCTTTTGCCGACGAAACCTTTACGGATAAGAGAGTGCGCGCCGATCCTGTTCGAGATACGAAAATGGACGAAAATAGAGGAAGAAACGAACGAAAGCCGATCGACTCGCCGTTATTACGTTTTTTGTACAGCGGGGCTGTAGCACGGAGAACGAGTATACAGAATGGATACGAGATAGAGAAAAAAAAAGAAGAGAAAGAAATGGTTTTCGGAAAGGATGCGAACGGTGCGATCGAAAGCACACGTTACGATATACCTAAACGCGTAAATTTTAAGGGACACGTGTAAGCAGAATTAAGTAATAGTATTTAACGTTAACACTTGCTATTAATTATTATATAAACGATTAACTAATGGTAATTAAACGGGAAGAAAAAAAATGTAATTATTGCTAAAAACAAGCCGAACGGAAGGTCGTGTCACGCTGCATTGAAAGAGGATTTAAAGGACCCGCTTTAAATGGCGACGACGGAACAAGAGATTGGAGAAACAGACACACGCAACACTAATAAACTAATTATTATTATATGATTATATATTATTATTACGATTATTGCTATCGAGTTCGAGAATCGTCGTGATAAAAATTGATGGGAAAAAAAAGCGTAAGATAATAGGTGATAGCTGTGAGCGAGTGCGGGATAAATTCAAACACGGGAGAGAATGAGAGGGAGAGTTAACGTGTGAAAGAGGAAAGAGAGATTGGCAGATAAAATTTGAGAATAACACTTCGAGGTATGTTCATCGAGAATAATAATTCCTCAAACTATTAGGTGCGTAATTAGGATATATTTATTATGACGAAATATAGTCGATTACGAAAGATGACATGGCGTAATGCAACGAGCGAGACACAGGGAGAAAATGGTCAAAGAGAGAGAAAGAGAGAGACAGTGAGAGAACGAATGGACAAAGGAAAAGAAAAAATATATAAAACGTTTTTTTCTCTGTAGAATATCATTGCGAGACGCGCCTTTCGGATTGCGCGCGTTACGTTAAAATTAGTCTAGGGACGAAAGGGAAAAAAGAATCGTGTGATTGAGAAGGAACCAGTGAGAACGGGAGAGAGAGAAAGCGAGAACGAGAGCAAGAGAGAGAGGACGAACGAGAAATTATGTTTTTATGCGAGAGAGCGCCTACGTATGAGACGAGGGTTAATTAAAAAGAAGAAAATTAGAGAGGAGGGAGAAGAGAAAGATTACTGATTGTTGACACCGAGTGAGCAAACTTTCTGTGTGATAATCTCGTAGTACACGTAGCCCATTAAGTCTACAATACGTTTCAGTAGAGGAATTTTAGGTGAGAACGACTAAATCTTTTTTAAACGTCGGACGATATGAAATTAACGCGAAGGAGGCGGTCACGGTCCGGGATTTCGAGAGGTGTTAACGCTTGAATATTTTAACCACCCCTTTCGAAAACTTCGTCGGCAGATGGCGGTGTTGATTCTGTTCGCCGACAGTCAACATATCATTGAGCGTATTTTAAATAACGATTATAATACTAATTAGTTACAGAGAGGACACGACGGAGCCGTCGATTACTCCGACCCGTCGTCTTATCGTAGGCAATTAGTTCTTTGATTTAGACACGCTAGAAAATTCTTCGTCCTCAATCGCGAGATTCGAGACGATTTTCTCTTTCTTTGATCCACGACACGATCCTCGATTCGACCTTTTGCAGGCCGCGATTTTCTTACCGATTTCCGTTCGTGTTAACTATGATCGTTTAACCTTTTGCGTGCATAATTTCCTATTAATCGTACGATAGTTTAAGTTGCCCGCAGTAAACATTTCCCTCGTTTCGAATCCAGGGGTTGTTTACTTAAAAGCGAAACGAGCAGATTCAGCGTGAAAACTTTAGCAAAATGAAATAAAGGGACTAAGAGTATTAGTTTCTAATGTCTTTGGCGCAATTTTTGAAAAATCTATTTCGTGGACAAGGGTGAAAGAGAGGGAGAGAAAGGGACAGAGCGCAAGAGCGGGAGAGAATGACGACAAAGAAAATTTCGTAGAGGCAGCGAAAATTCTAAATTAAAGTTCCTATCGCTTCGCCTTCTAAGCCTGAACGCCGGACGCGTAGCCTTTTAAATAAACAACCCTGCGTTACCACACGACTGCATCGTTCGCCGTTCAACTACCTCGAATTATAAAAAAAAACCACCGACGGCACTCCCCCTACAACTACGTGAAAACGACCTGCAAAGGGTTGACACGACCCTTCCTCGTCGAGACACCTTTCAGTTCGCAGATCAAGAAACGAGAGGCTGTCGATACTCCAGCTCTCTGTTCCACGATTAAATCCTACGCTGGTGCCAACCCCCAATGTCTCGAATCTCAAGGAATCGGCGGACAAAGAATTTTCACGACAGATCGATCGGTTTCTCGAGCTGAAACTCGCTAACCGTAGATCGACGAAACGGAACCTCTCGAAGTCCGACCGGGGATCTGTCGAAAACTTGGGGGTAGGAGGGTGG